AGACAGTTCAAATTAATTCGGGATGGGTATAAGTATTTTGCATCACACAGAACCCGAACCCTAGCCGCCAGCCCCCCCGTCGGAGAAGAAAGTTAATCGCCAACCGTCGTCGCACTAAAGCCACCTTCGACTGCCAAAAAATGTAAAAATTCTCCTACCAATTCAGAATTCTATTCTGAACACCCTTGTGGCTATATCGAAGCAAAACAAATGGCAGGTGAGTCGAAAACTATGAGTAAAGCCCGACGGGGCTGCCGTGGCCCAAAACCCGGAACCTTCTCTGGTGAGCCCCTTTTCAGTTCTCGTTTCGTGCGATTTTTTCACTTTGTGTTCACCGTTCTGTTTTTTACAGGTTGACCAAAGGAGGAATCCCAGTCGCGAATGAGAGCTGGCAGAGCTGCCATACTCGGAAACCCCACCACCGGTTGGTTTCGATTTTCTGAGTTTTTTTTGCCAACCGAGACTCCCAAATGTGTTTTTTCGTAGAGATATGTGTAAAGTTGGCCGAAACAAGCCTAAACAAGCTAAAAATGGCCATGCTGAGACAAACTACAATCGCGGGTGATAGTGTCGTCACTAGAGCACAACGGCACCACCGTGCCAGAATCTCGAAATTGGCTAGAAGGGATTTTTAATACCAATCTTGAATTTTTAGAGTATGTTTTGGGTATGTAAAGCGTGTTTAATCTCCGCAGAAAAATTCAAAAAATCTAGGGACCGCTAGGAAGCGCGGTAGAAAGTACAGTATTTCGAATATCGATTTGGGTCAAAATCCTTTATCTTATTCCCTATTGTAGAATTGAAGTTTAAAAATCAATAATATGATCTTCTGTGGAATTTAGAAAACTTTGGGAATAATTACAAATCACTAATGGAGCAGGAACCGGTTAGTTATTTATTTGTCTTTTTTAACTGATTACTTACTCGTATAGTTTTAAATACATAATAATATCTTAAAATAATTAAATGATTCAGTTGTGTTTCCTTGATACATATATCGTTTGTTTTGTATAATTTACAGTTGATTGTGAAACGTGAAATTAGTATACAAATGAAAAGTTGTTTGATGATGTGAATTAATAAATAGTTGTCTTACTAGATATCCTGGGAGATGGTGGACAAATCGGGTACATAAGAAACCCTATCGTGAACGTCACCTCATACCGGATAGGATATCGAGGAATGATACTTTTGGCGCTCATATCGAATAGGGTATAGGTACGGCCTGGTTCACCCTCATACAAGACAGAATATCGAGGGATGGCATTTTGGTGCTCAAATCCGACGGGGTATAGGGACGGGCAGATAATCGACAAGTTTAGATATTTGGTTCACGCGTAAGGGGATATCCCTATGGACCCCCATAGGTACCTATAAGCAGATAAAAAAAGAAAAGTTATTGTTCTTACTCACTTGTACAAGAGATCATAATGTCATTTGAGTTATTATTTTTATAGGTTGATTTTAAAAATTTCATAACGGTATTAAGAGCTTCATCAGTTGTTTTATATATTTTTTTTACCAACCTTTAGTTTTCGTATCAGTGAGTACTATAATATTCTTATTGGGTTAATGTAGCTCACCCCTATTAACCATTTCAGATCAAGACTCAGATCCTGATTAGTAGAAGGGTTGTGAATAGGTGTTCCCCTGACCCCATCAAGAACTAGTGGAGGTTAACCTCCCCACAATATTTTTTTACTATTTTCGTATATTTATTTCAATTTTTTTATGCATTGTTATGAAATGAACATTTTCGTAACCCTATTAAGCATTCAAATTTATGTGTAAGGAATATAAATCCTAACGTTATTATATGGTTCTGCATTAAATTTATGAATTTATTTCCATTATAGTTCCGAGTTATTACAGTTGGTATCAGAGCCGCGTTCCTCGGAACCATTTCTTATACAAAGACTTAAAAATACCAAATATAAAATTATCACTCAACATTTTTTTGTGAAATATAGGTATAAAAAATGAGGAGAGGAGGACTCCCACTAAACCGAGCAGCTCGGGATGGCTCACTTTGAGAGAATGTCGATCAACTCTTTAAGATGCTTGAGAGACTCATATCTGTCCAGTAGGCCTAGGGGGAAAGAAGGGAACTGTTTGACCCTCTCTCACTGCCACGATTTGAGCTACCCTTGCAGCAGAAAGAATCGGAGCCACCCCAATATGACGCTACTCCTCCACCATACTATCCGGCACCACCACAGCACAATCTGGTGCCTCCACCGCATCATCCAGTATTGCCACAGTACAACCTGGTGCCCCCACAATATCATCCGGCACTGCCATAGGGCCACCCAGTCTCGCCCCAACATAATCCAATTCATCTTCCACGGGACCCAGTTCAACCCATGATGGACCCAAACTACATTGAGAGATACAAGAGACCAAGCTCATCTACCTTTGTAGGGGCATCCTCTTTTGAAAAGGCCGAGTTTTGATTAGCTGAGACAGAGAATGCCTTCGCGACTCATGGGAAGGTTCCCGAATAGAAAGTTATACTTGCCACCTACATGCTTGTGGGAGAGGCAGACCACTGGTGGTAGCTCAAACATGCCACCTTACCTGTTCCAATCATTTGAAAATAGTTTTTGATGGCCTTTAATGTAGAGTACCTCCCATAGCACCTCCGATATTTAAAAGAGATGAAGTTTGCACACCTTATCTAAGGTGAGATGACTGTGTCA